ATGTCCATTGTGCAGTTTTGTCTGTCTGTGATGAAAGATTAGTGATCGTGGGAAAAATCTTGATTTCACAATGAGACAAGGACAAAGATTAAACTTCCATGCTCCGCCGAAAGTAACAGCAGATGAGATTTGCTGTGAATGGGATCATATTTTCTCATTTCTCTTTCCATTTTCTAACTTTTACAAATGAGGAAACAGAACTGGCATGTAGTGCTAGCCTCAGCTAACCAGTACAACTTCTGTGACTTCTTCACACTGAGCTTCGAGCCTGATTATCGGAGATATTACTTATCATGGAGCCATCGCATTATACATGTGTGCTGCTTTTGTCAACAACAATTCCTGATGTTGTGTAGTGTGAAATTAGCCAGGCTGGTGCCACCTAGTGCCTCCAAACAATTTCTAATACACTAGACCAGGGGTCGGCAACCCAAAATGTTCAAAGAGCCATATTGGCCCATAAAAACAAAAAACATACCTGCCTGGAGCTGCAAAAAATTTAAAGCCTTATATAAGCCTAATATGAAGGCAACATAGGCTGTCAGTATATTAGCTATATAAGCCTACTATTAAAATGACCCTCTCATACTTGGTGCACCGTCTGTAGCCACTGAAATCAGGTGGTTAGTGTTTATTCCTTTGTCATTTGGGCCCCGTTTACACGTACACAGGTATTTTTAAAAACTGAGACATTTCCCTTCGTTTGTACACATCATTTACACGCAAACGGTGAATTTGTCTCTGAAAACGAATCTTTCTAAAAACCCCGGCTAGAGTGGAGCTTTTGGAAAACTCCGGTTTCACGTTTGCGTGTAAACTGAGATAAACGGACATTTACCCGTTGCTTTGACGACGATGATGGAAGCATTCAGAGCAGCAGTCACATTTCTTCTGATCGTGCATAGGAGCACTCAGAAAACAGCAGCATGTAGAACTTTGTACGCAACTCACCGCACATCAGCCCGGAAGCTCTGAGCTCAGGCAGCAGCGCCACATGGAAGCAGTCACTGTAGCGCGCAGCCCCTCAAGACGGGGCTGGGGGTCCAGTGTTGTTTGTCCGGAGGCTTCGTCCTCCATGTCCTGGATCCAGACGGGGACGAGCAAGACCAGCTCACATAGGACTGGGTCCGAGTGCTTCAGTGCAGTCATCTATGCGCTGGTTCCGTGTGGGAAAAGCAAGAATGCGCTGTGGATCACAGGTCCAGTCCTCCACGCTCGACCGCACCTGGTTCCGAGGTGGTGCAAAGCATCTATGACAAGAGATGAACGAGAGTTTTACCCCTAAAGAAACCATATTAAAACAACAACCAAAAAAATCATTCTTTTTCCATTTTCACTCATTTTTGAAAAAGCTCCAGGAAGCCACTAGGGGAGTGCTAAAGAGCCGCATGCGGCTCTGGAGCCGCGGGTTGCTGACCCCTGCACTAGACGGTTTGCAAGAACCCCGGAAGTGCAAGTCCCGGCACCAGCCAATCAGCAAAAAGCCATACATTCTCTGTTGGCAACGATTCCCAAGATCGAGGATTTAAAGCCGGAACCAAGAGAATGTTTAGTGAATTTTATCAAGGGGCAAGACGTTATTGCCCTTCTTCCTATGGGATTTGGGAAAAGCTTAGTATACCAGTTAGCCCTGTTAGCGGCGCATTACATATGTCACAACCAAATAGCAGCAATTGGTTAAATTTTAAAAAGTACCCGCCTACCGTTGAGCGAACAAATTCTAATGCTGTGAGGTCAGACAGTTTCTACAAAGTGAAACCAGCTGATGAATCAGGCTAGCGTGAAATCTTATGAAGAAGGGAAAAACATTTGCTTTTCTAAGGTTAAACAGCACACTGTATTAAAAGTAAGCATATCAAATTTTGGATGAAAAAGTATGTAAAGCGTTTGTTAACTGATCTGAAGGTTGGTGGTTCGACATAAAAAAGCTGTCGAACCAAAGCTGTGAGCTGACCCATATGTAGGCGATTCCAGCACCCACAGATGAATGTTGTGATTGTGTCCTTGAGCGAGACACCTTCCCACAATGTCTGCATATGCTGCTGTATGAATATGTGTGTGAATGAGCACTATATAAAAATGTGTCCAGGACCATTTACTAATAACAGTCATATACCTTATACATTAAACATCTAACATTTTCCTACACAGAGAAGGTGACTGAAGTGTATTGCCCAAGAACACAACAGCAGTGTGCCCTAAAGGAGAGTGCATGGGTTTTAAAAAAATTATTGACCATGAAAACCCCATTTTGATCACTGTATTCTGCTATTTGCCTCATCATGTATTTACATCATAGACTATAATTTGCATCACATATATTCAAGAAAAAAACAGCAAAGTTAACAGTTCTATCAAAGCGAGTAAAAACAAAACATCGTAACACTCAAATCTCTCCGAGCGTTTCATTTCTGTTTGTTCTGATAAATGACCACAAACAGCTCCAGCTCACACTTGCCTCTTGATTGGAAGTGTTTTTGCACAGTGGATTCAGTGCTTGGATGCACCTCATTTGGATTCTCGATGAAGCCAAAGTAAAGCTCACAGTTTATTTTATGCAAAAGGATGTTCGAATGGAAGTCTCAGAAAGAGAGGTGCATAATACGCCTCAGCAGACAAGCACACAATCAGCACAGTGTTATAGGCCCAGGTCTGATTGAAAACCTTAAAAACCTGAATAACAGAACAAGTTCATTTTAAACACTTTGCAGTGGTCCAAGGTTATTCCTCACTCACCTTAAAGAGTCCATATTACTCTATTTTCTTATCTATGTTATAACCTAGAGTTGTGTTTTATTTTATTCACACATGTTCAACACACAATCCCTACATATTTAAAATGAGTTCTTCTCGCAAATGGAAAACACTTTGCTCCACCTTATGATGCCATGCGGTAATACAGGAAGTGCTCCACTGTGTTTTTAAACTCCATACACCTTCACTACAATTATTTAGATAATTTCAGCCCTAGAATTGCCAGTCTCTTTTGAACTAAAGGTAAAAGGTAGCTGTTAGCTTGAAAACTACTGCTTCATGACATCACAAGGTGGAACAGAGCATATTTGAGGTTTGGGGATATTGAAAGATATAAAGTGTTACTCAAACGTGTGAATGAAACAAAACACAGCTCAACTCCAGGTATGTTTTAAGGCAGTAGCAAAATTATAACATGACTTAAAGCTCACAAGAGTCACTGTTGTGTAATATAGGACCTTTAATATGATTCCATTTTATTTTCTCTTTAATCTAGGGTCAGTAGATCCGTAATTTACATATTTTTTTGTTATTTTGTTTTTAAATGCTTTTCTGCCCCATTTATATGTCCCAAAGTACTGTATTTTCTGGACTATTAGTTGCTCCGGACTATAAACTGCACCAGCCTAAAAATGCATAATGAGAGGAAAAAAACATATCAGTTACACTGGACTATAAGTCACATTTTTGGGGGGAAATTTATTTTATAAAATCAGGGAACAAGAACCAACATTTCATCTTGAAAGGCCGTTATAGTAATAACAGTAGAATAGAGAACAACAGACTGTTAACATAACATATGCACAGTTCTTCAGATAATTATAGCATAAACAACAGAACAGAACAAGTTTACCAAACTCTCCTTCTCTCTCCAAATCACTGAATTCTTCATCCTTGGTGCAACTCCACCAACTCTAGCTAAATCTAACTTTTAGCTCGCTATTAGCCTTTTTTGTTTGCTTCATTGCAGTTAGAGTATCCTCAACTTTTTGCCAGTCCCTCTCAAGTTTCTCACTCAGTCCAAACTTTCTTTCTACTGATGGATTACCATTTTCTACTACATATTTCACTACTTTCATCTTGTAATCTGCAGAATATGATTAACAGTTTATCGATGTGTGATAAAATAAGTTATGATGCTAAATGAACATTAGTGAGTGGGATATGTCTTAATGACCCGCATGTGTTAAATGCAGGTGAGTGCGTAAATGACAAGAAGAAATGTCTCAAACTTCAGTAGCCGGACATCCACTCATACCTGATCAATACACCGAGCCCCGCTCCCCGAGAGAGCCTGAAATCTGCTGAAATCCTACAAGATACTGACATGATAGCAGACAGGACAGTGGCTCTTTCTGCAGCCAACATGCACAGTAGAGCAAAATGACAGTGGTACAGGAGTAATAGGAGAAGCAAATACTGGCACACAGGCCTAGAGCGCCCTCTCGCAGCTGTCAGTGTGAAACGAACATTTTATTTTATGCAAGTCGCACTTGAGTATAAGTTGTAGGACCACCCAAACCATGAAAAAAGTGTGACTTATAGTCTGAAAAATATGGTACACATATACTTTCCTCCTCCCACTCTTTCAAATAGTCAGCCTCTGTTATGGTCTGAATGACTGACTGGAAAATTGTGTGAAGAGGCACTTGGATTACATCACCCCTGATACAAAATTGACTTATTTGAGCTTTTAAAGATGTTATATTGTTGTCTCCTCATCATAGACATACCTGCATTTGTATTTTGTTTCATTCGCACTTGTTTCATTAATACAGTAAGTCAAATAAAGGCTATATAAAATCAAGATTAACTGCCATAGCTGTGTAAAATACTTTTTTGACCATCATGCATGAATAAACAGTTTTAAAAACACAGGTAGATGAAAAAATTTCCTGCATTTTTGTTTTTCCAGTATTGTATAGCAAGATGAGTCGAATATATGAAAGCTATCTCTTTTGTGTGACTTTATTTTGAATGTAAATTTAAAATAAAATTGTGAACCTACATTTTTTTTAAATACCCAGATTGTAACTTTTGTAACTTTAAGATTTTCCAATTTGCCATTCACCACATTCCTCTTGTTTCACATTATCCACATTATTCACACAACAATCGCCATCTGAAACACCATTTAGACTTATGCATAATAGATCATTGTTAGCGCCCTGATGCAGTACTTTGTTGTGTGTGTTTTAGCCTACCACCTTTTCCACTTACTCTGCATGTCCCCTGTGCATTCTCAGGGCCGATCCGCAGAAGCTGGACGCATTCATCATGGACAAGGCCCTTTTAGACTACGAAGTGTCCATCGACGCGGACTGCAAAACGCTAACAGTTGGAAAGCCATTTGCCATCGAAGGTAAGGGCATGTTCTTAGCGCACTTTACACATAAGCACCATTTATTTTTAATCACGGCTAACTCCCCTAGCATCCCCGGGCTTCCTAAATTTAAGACTATCAGTGTCTCAGCAGTGCAACAATGCCTAATCTTCTGGCTTTCAAAAGATTATTTAGCGTTAGTCGTAGCGCTAATCTTTGGTCCATTTAGCAGACTTCTTCCTCCCACTGTGAGAGAGGATTTCCCCAGCGGACACTTCCATTACTGGAGTCCACAGCCGTGCACAACCGCTGCTGCTGTTAATTACTTAATGCGCCCCTAAGCTTTTGGATACAATGCAAATCAATGAGCGTGATTCAGAAAAGTGGAGGTGCTTTTGTAATTGGCTACTGCAGAATCTAAATCTTTACCTGACTATCTGCTACTTTTAAATGGACCAACTTTTATTATCTCAGAGTCAGAAGCTAAGCAGAGTCAGGCCTGGTTAGTTCTTGAACGGGTGGCCGCTGGGAATACCAGATGCCACAGGGGGGTACCACTGGCAAAACTGTTGTCTCCTTAGGCAAGACAGTATGAATGTGGTGTGTGTGTGTCGGTGGTGGTGGGAGAGGCCGATGGTGCAGATCAGTCCTCTTCAGAGCTGCTCTGGCTACATTGGAATAGAACGGAGCTTAAAGGGCCCATCTCATGCAAAATAACTCTTTTCACATTGTATCTTTTGCACATAAACAAGCACAATTTGGGTTTTGGAACATCCATTACAAAATAGTTATGAAATTTTACTGATTTCTTGGAGGCAGTCACAGACCACGAACTATGAAACGCCGGCTATTGCTCATCCCCCTGCCTGTCCTGAGAAAGCACAGACTCCGCCCTCCAAACGTGACGTAGGCTCTGAGTGAGCCGCCCTTCCTCCGCCCATCTCAGGGAGGGAGGGGGAGAGAGACGTGCACCCTGACAGCGGTAGGAATAAACTTTTATTCATCATGGCGATATAGAGCGTTCAGCCGCATGTGTTGGACCCAGAATCGGACGAGGACTTGGAGGTGCACGAAGCACAAGCACCGCGTCGGCATCAGCTGAACTTTTCTGATTGTTAAAGTATTAATACACACTAGTAGATAAACTTATTATATCGTGAACACTGCAGTGTAGAACAATTAGCTTATGCTGTTGCTTTTGTTTAGGTGTTCATGTGGGAATTGTCAGCCGATGCAGGGTGGAGGCAGGGCAGAGGCGGTGGAGCGGGGAAGTGGGCAGGTGCGAAGCGCCTTCTGCTATGTCAAACATGTCATAGGTGTAGCTTTCGCGTCATTGTTGTAGCAGGTTTTAGTTCGTTGTCACGTGGGAGGGTGGCAGAAATATGCTGCAATTTGTTTAAAAAATGCTGAATCAATCTAAAAAACCACTTTGGCTACATATACAAGGCTCACACATCACTCTTAGAAGGTAGGAAGCTCTGAAAAGTTGATTTTGCATGAGATGGGCCCTTTTAAGGATCTGATGTGAGTGGAATTGGTAATGAATACCATGTCTGCTTTTACAAATTGTTACAGTGTAGATTTAAGAGATGTCGTCACCCTGACAGTTTCATGTATTTGCATTGTAAGGAAAGGCAAGGCAAGGCAAGTTTATTTGTATAGCACAATTCGTACACAAAGTAATTCAAAGTGCTTTACAGAATAAGAAATACATTAAAATCATAATAAAAACAAATCAAAACATAAATAATCATGAAGATTAAAATTAAAAAAGAGAGACATAAATTGGAGAGAAGAGTGCGGAATGAAAACCTTTCAGTTATATGCACAGTTAAACAGAAATGTTTTGAGTCTGGATTTAAACAGCGTCACAGAAGAGTCTGTCTCACATGTTCAGGAAGACTGTTCCAGGTTTTAGCTGCATGAACCTGAAACGCTGACTCCCCTTGTTTAGTTCCTGACTCTGGGCACCAGCAGGAGGCCGGTCCCTGAGGTCCTCAGAGTGCGAGATGGTTCATATGACACTAACATGTCACAGATGTACTTTGGTGCTCGGCCATGGAGAGACTTGTACAAGCAGAGCTGCTTTAAAGTCTATTCTCTGAGCCACAGGAAGCCAGTGCAGAGACCTGAGCACAGGACTTATGTGCTCGTACTTCCTAGTTCGAGTAAGGACCCGAGCTGCAGCGTTCTGGATGTTCTGCAGCGTCTCACAGCTCGTTTTGAAAGACCAGTGAGCAGACCATTACAGTAGTATAACCTACTGGAGACAAACGCATGGATAAGTTTCTTCAAGTCTGCTTTAGACAGTAAACCTTTGATTTTTGCTATGTTTTTTAGATGGTAAAAGGCTGCAGATGTTATTGATTTGATGTGGCTGTTAAAGTTCAAGTCTGAGTCCATTATTACCCCTAGATTTCTTGCCTGATTTGAAGGTTTTAGAGAGAGAGACTGGAGGTGACTGCTGACACTGTCCCTTTGTTTCTGTGGACCAAACACTATGACTTCAGTCTTGTCAGAGTTTAGCTGGAGAAAGTTGTTTTGCATCCACACACTGATCTGTTGGATGCAATGACCAAGTGAGTCCACTGGTCCATAGTCTCCTGCTGCCAGAGAGACGTAGATCTGAGTGTCATCTGCATAATTGTGGTAGGACACATTATTGCTGCTTATTAACTGGCCTAATGGCAGCATGTAGAGATTGAACAACAGGGGGCCCAGGATTGACCCCTGAGGCACCTCACAGGTCAGGGCCATGTGATCTGAGACACAGTTTCCAATTTCAACAAAATACTTCCTGTCTTCTAGATAGGACTTGAACCAGTTTAGTACAGTACCAGAGATGCCCACCCAGTCCTCTAGTCTCTGTAAGAGGATCCCATGATCGACAGTGTCAAAAGCAGCACTCAGATCTAACAGGATCAAGACTGAGACTTTGCCTGCATCAGTGTTCAGGCGGATGTCATTTGTCACCTTGATAAGAGCAGTCTCAGTGCTGTGGTGGGCTCTAAAACCTGACTGGAAAACATCAAAGGAGTTGTTCATTTGGAGAAAGTTCGTAAGCTGTTGGTAAACAGCTTTTTCAAGGACTTTGCCAAAAAAACGGCAGATTTGAGATGGGTCGGAAATTGTTCAGTACTGTGGCATCAAGACTGCTCTTCTTTAGGAGAGGCTTAATGACCGCAGTTTTCAACGCGTTTGGGAATGTTCCAGATTGAAGTGACATGTTAACTATGTGAGTGAGTGGTGAAAGTAAACTGTTGAGGACGGACTTTAGAAATCTAGTGGGTAACATGTCCAGGCAGCAAGTAGATGAACTCAGACTGGTAACGATCTCTAAAACAGTTTTGTCAGTTACAGGTGCAAAGTGATTCAGCTCTAAGTGTCTCTGTGGCTGCATGCTTGTTATTTGTGTTGTGGAATTGATGGCATTTTTGATGCCCTGAACTTTGTCATTAAAGAAAACTGCAAACTCATTACATTTAGATGTGGAAATTAGTTCTAGTGGCAGTTGAGCTGGAGGGTTTGTTAATCTGTTCACTGTTGCAAACAGGACACGAGAGTTGTTACTGCAATTACCAATAATGTCCGAAAAATACTTCTCTCTTGTTTTACTCAAAGTGTAGTTGTACATATGCATTGTTCCTCTGTAAATCTCATAATGAACCTGGAGGTTTGACTTGCGCCATTTCCGCTCAGCCTTCCGGCACTCCCTTTTCTGTGCCCTGACTGAGTCATCATTCCTCCACGGAGCTTTTTGCCTATCTTTAACCATTTTAACCTTTATCGGGGCGATGGCATCCAGAACATTCAAAACACTCAAAGTCACAGAGTTCAACACAGCATCAACATTAGAACATGAGGCAATTTCAAAATGTATCATTTCCATGAACAGTGCACCTGTGTTATCATTTATGTGTCTTCTTCGAACAACTGTAGGAGCAGCCGGTGGTTTGGGAATAACAGACAGGTCAAAGAAGACACAGAAATGATCAGACAGAGCAACATCAACCACATTGACATTTGAAAATATTTACACCCTTTGTAATGAGCAGGTCCAGAGTGTGCCCTCTGTGTGAGTGGGCTCACTGACATGCTGAGTCAGACCAAAAGTTTCAAGGACAACACTAAGCTCTTTGGCATTTTTTGTCACACACATTATCCACATGTACATTAAAATCACCTGTAATGACTAAACCATCAAAGTCTGTGCAAACAACTGAAAGCATCTCAGTAAAATCATCAATAAAACTTTGACAGTGCTGAGGAGGTTTGTATATGACGATGTAGAGTATGGACGGTGATTGTTTTAGCTCCATTTTGAAGGAAACATACTCAAATGATGAAAACACCCCAAATGACAACCTGTGTGTAACCAAATGATCTCTAAAAAATGCACACACTCCTCCACCCTTTTTATTTGCTCGTACATAAATGTACTAGTGTATTCCTTTGTCAGTAAATCTACCAGTTTTACACCATATCATTTTGTAAAGTGCAAAGCAAGTCAATAAATGGAAAAAAAAAAAGCAATAGTAGTTTATCACCGCTGAATATGGAGTGAATGAATAATGCATTGTAAATTGTCCAAAAAAAAGCATAATTTAATATATTTTAATAGAGGCCATAAAAGACCAGTGTTATGTTTGTGAGCAAGGACATGTGTAACAAATGTTAATTCAGCAGACTCCTGAAAGCAAGCAGACTTTTGAAATAGATTTCTGTTATTTAGTCGCTGTCTCCTGGTCTGTTTTAAAGACTGTGAATACAACAGTGTGTCATTGCATCAGCCCATAATAATGCATATTCGACTTCAAAACACACAGCTGGGCCTGCTGTTTTAACACATGATCCATCCACTTGCATTTTCACTGAGAGCTTACATAAAAGCCAGTCTTACCTTTTACAGGTTTATGTCTTACGTAAGCTCCCTGCCTGTCCAGTAGCTTTAGCTGTTTACTTGTAGCTCTTGTGGAGGAATAAAACCTTCTGAGCCACTGCTGCACTGCCAATCACCAACTTTTGCACTTTTTTCACTACATTTATTATTGTTATTTTAATTCATCATCTGAGCTTTCACATAGTGCTGCTGATGTCCATGTCATTGTCACTTCCATCCCAAATGCTAAGTAACCTATGGGAAACGTATTGACTGTCCCGATTAGCCAGCACTCCATTGATGATAACCACAATCAGCATGCAAACAGCACTTCCGGATTCACAAATGCTTTATAATTAGATTCAGACAGTACACAGTGGTCTCATTTGGACTCTAAGAGCTGCTTTTACAATATCTCTATATTGCAGCAAGACAAATTTTACTTTGCAAAAAATCAGGTACCATCCTTTACTAACACTCATTCGTGAGATATTTCTGTAGGCACAATAATCCTGGGACTAACTATCAGAGATGTGATTTTCATTTCACTTCTAGTCTCTCTGCCCATCCCAAACACTTTGTTATAATGCCAGATTCATATAGTCAGGGGAATAAACTGTCTTGCCCGTGGGCTCCACTCCAGTATGCCAGGTCATTAGAAGAGATTGTTATTAAGAAATAACTTGGTACCATGGCACCTACTTCTGCGTTATTCACTTTGCTTTCCATAAAGTGCATATGACAGGTTAGATTACTAATTTCACTAAAATGTAATTAACATGATTATATGTAAGATATATATAAAAATATATATAATAAATGTTTTCGCTAGTTTGACCATTTTAAATAAGTTTGTAACTTTACTTTCTGACTGGACAGCAGCAGATATGTCTTACATTGAACAGGGTGCCTAAACTTTGACACAGGGCATCATATAGAAACATATTCATAGCAGAGGTCCACAGACTGGTGGCATATATAGTGACTTTCAGATAGATTCATTTTTCGTAAGTTTAACAGAACCACTTGGAACACTCAGTGCAAAGATGTTGCATATTGCAGTGATAGAAATACTTGAATTTGCAGTAAAAAGTAGTCTCTATTATCATTTGGGCCAATTCAGCAGGATTCTTGAGGGGCAACAAAACAACAAAAATGTATTATTTGATGAGGTAAAGGTATTCTGCTTTAGAACTAACTGCTACTTCCTGTGTTCTTGTACTTTTCTTCTCAACATTTTTTTTCCCCCAGAAACTGCCAGTTAACTGAAAAATATGATAACAGACAGGGCCGTTGCGGTTAGGGAATTTCTCCTGTGGTGCGGTGTAGCAGCTCAACACCACGGTATGCGATGATATCACACCCCCTCCCCCACCCCACATGCCCTGGAGTTACAATATTTCTAGCGGCTCTGAAAACTCTCTCTGATGATGCACCTGTTGTGCAGATGCACATGTACCTTGGTTGTCACGTGGATATAGCGTGTAGCGTGGGAGAAGATTCATTTGACTTTGGAACAAGTGCCGCTGCTCTCTCCAGCTCTCACTGTGGCAGCTCGGGTCAGACTCGTGGACCAGGTCGGGTACCCGCGGACTTAAGAGAGAGAGAACCCTGAGCTTGCAGGTGTCCGCAAAGCATGATCAGGTGACAGCTGCACTTACCTCCGTGCAGCGCGGAGCTGTGGCTGTCCTTTCACCTGTTGTCACCCAACAGTCTTAGTCCTGGGTTAGTCCTGAGTTAGTCCTGGGTTAGTCCTGGGTTAGTCCTGGGTTAGTCCTGGGTTATCACAGGCACAGGCGGTAACGGGTGGAATGTTAATGAGTCCAGGCGGTTGCAGGTCTCTAAAAATGGACCCGTGCAGGACTCTGGGTCAGGTCACCTGCGGTGATCGCGGTGGCCCAACATGCACCGCGGTGGGCCTCTTAGTACCGCAGTGATTCATTTTTGCGGTTATCACGACATCCCTAATAACAGGTACTAAACTATGACAACAGCTACTAAATAAACAAATCAAGTAGTAATTCAAAACTCATGAACACCTGTCATATGCAGTCTAAAGGGTCCATGTTACACTATTTTCTGATTTATGTTATCATGCCATTTCCTCATCACAAACAGACCTGGAGTTGTGTTTTGTTTCATCCACACATGTTTAACACCTAAACTCTCCATATTTAGCCTGAGTTCTTCTCTCAAACAGAAAACACTCCACCTTTTTAGTTCATGTGGTAATACAGGAAGTGCTGTACTGTGTTTTTAAATTTGATACAACTGAATTACTTCATCATTTGCATGATTACAGACCTGGAATTACCTGTTTCTACTGGAATAAAGGTAAATAGCAACTGTTAACTAGACACCCTAATAATGCGGCATTACTCAGACATGTGTGAATGAAACAAAACACAACTTCAGGTATGTTTCTGAGGAGGTAATGCAACTACAACATGACTTAAAGCTCGCAAGCATCTGTTTTGTACTATAGGACCTTTATGTGCTCTTGTTTACCATCATTTGTTTGTGTGTGTCAGGTTATGGCATCGGCCTGCCACAGAACTCTCCTCTCACCTCCAACATCTCGGAGCTGGTGAGCCAGTACAAGTCGGACGGCTTCATGGACATGTTGCATGACAAATGGTACAAGGTGGTGCCCTGTGGAAAACGGAGCTTTGCAGTCACTGAGGTAAGAGCCGCTAATGTAAAAGCAACATGATGGAAGGGCTAGTGCGCCGTGAAATATGTATTACCACCACCATACACATCAGTCAATCCAGCTAAGTGAGAGCATTTTTGGCAAATGTGTCCGTCAAGCTAAAACGAGCACGCTGACAAGAACATATGGCTTTTAGGAATAGTGATTATGTGAGTGTGACAGGGGGTAATTGCTAAATAAACTTTGGGGACTTTTAATGTTTCCATGCTGGAAGTTTTTGCTCAACTTATATATTTTCAGTGATTATGAATTGTTTAAGATTCAGGGAATTTAAAGGTGCACTGCGCAACTTTTCTGGTGTAGTGTCCACCACCTGTTTATCTGGAGATGTTATCACTTTGCCTGGAATGTTCCCTGATATGACATTAAACATATCCAGCTAGCATTTATTCAGTACAGGTGTTTCTATCACCCAAAAATACAATTATTCCTTCTGTGAATAGATGCGGCTCTCCACAGATCTGAACTGTAATGTAGTGCTGTAACCTGCTTGTCTTCCTTGTGATAGATAAGTTTAATCTATACTGTGGAACATTCCAGACAAAGCAATCATATTTCCATGGAGACAAGTAAGAGGACCCTGCACTAGAAATTTTACACGGTGCACCTTTAAATGACACTTGCAGAGACCAAACTATAATGGTCTCAAAGAAAAATACTAAGAGATATACATCATTTGCTTCATCAGATTTTGAACTTTCATTGCCTTTGAATTTCAATTTTTAAGTCTGAACTTTAAATTTACACTGAATTTCTATTGCTGTTTTTGAAGTATATATTTTCAATGTGTTTAAAAATTAAAAATTAAAAAATGCAGCCACATATTTTCAAGTCCTCAAATTCAATAGTCAGAATTCATCCATTAATTTTCTTCTGCTTATCTGGGGCTGGGTCACAGGGGCAGTTGTCCAAGCAGGGACTCCCAGACTTCCTCCACCCCAGACACTTTCTCCAGCTCCTCCCGGTCCCGGGGGACCCCAAGGCGTCCCAGGCAGCTGAGAGACATAGTCCCTCCAGCATGTCCTGGATCTTCCCCGGGGTCTCCTTCCAGTAGGACATGCCAGGAACACCTCCCGAGGAAGGTGCCCTGGAGGCATCCAGAGCAGATGCCCGAGCCTCAGCTGGCTGCTCTTGACGTGGAGGAGCAGCTCTCCCATGTAACTGAGCTCCTCACCCTATCTCTAAGGGAGCGCCCAGCCACCCTGTGGTGGAAACTCATTCTGACCGCTTGTATCCACGATCTTTGGTCATTACCCAAAGCTCATGACCATAGGTGAGGGTTGTAACGTCAAAGTCAAAATTCAGAGTGCGAAATTTGCAGAGAAAAAAATCACAGCAAAGAGACAAGATACCAAGGCAATCGATGTAGCTAAATGTAGGAAATGCTGTGGGGAACCAGTCTGATTGGTCAAAATTAGCCTCATCAAAATTTTATCTCTTTGATTCCTAAACTGTAAGCCTCACCCACAGACAAGAAAGGCCAAAAGGAAACAGCTTGTCTCTATCCTCCTCAGACACACTTGATTGATTGCTTATGCCTTGGTATTTTGGCTCTTTGCAGCTTTATTTTTTTACTTTTACACTCTGAATTTTGAGTTTTAAATTAGCTTGAAAATATATGTGCTGAAAATTTTAAAGGTGATTTTTATTTCATTTTTAATTATTTACAATTTTTAAGCACATTGAAAACATATACTTCAAAATCCATCTATTGAAATTTTAATGGAAACTGTGTTTTTCAGTTAAAAAAGAAAATCAGCATGAAAATCTTACCTTAGCTTAACTTCTCACTACTTTCTGCATTTTACCAAACATAACTATGTAAAACCCACTGGTGCATCCAAGTCCTTACCGCATTCTCGTACCTCTGCATGTCTTGATGTCCGACTCTATTGCTGACATCCCTGAAGTGTTTTGCAGCTGTGCACAAATGCCCTTTATCAAACCCAAATGAAAATCACATTCACTCATTGTCTTTGCCTGAACACCATCTTCTGCTTGAGTGGCTCCTTCTATTTATTTCCAGTGACATTTCAGCCTGCCATAAGCGGCTCACAGGGCTGTTTCATTTGAAAGCTATTACGATCAGGTTTATGGGTTCTTTTTAAGAGTCTTGGCGGCGTCATTACTAAAATCTCCATAATATTAACTGGAGCTTGTATTGTCTGTGTGGAGATGCTGAGCTAGAGTTGTACAGTTTAGTTTTGACATTGGAAAAAGGCATTTGAGAGTTGAACATGTTCTACAGTCTTATTTATGATTTTCTCACTTCTCTGTATGTAAAGGTGTATGTAAAATAGGTGCAAGAGTTTTGGGATTTAGGTGTGTAGAACAACAAAAAGGGAATATTAAACAAATGCATACAATTGGATAGGCCAGTCTCCAGTCTCTTCTTAAAGGGTTAGTTTCAGAGTTCTGATTAAAATCCTATATTAGGCAAAATTGACTCTTGTGAGCTTTAAGTCATGTTATAATATAATACCTGGAGTTGTTTTGTTTTATTCTCACATGTTTGAGTAACCCTTTATTGTTGTCTGTCTACATCTCCAAAGTTCAAAATGCAACAGCTACCTTTTACCATTTTTTTTCTGTGTACATTGGTAATTCCAGGGCTGACATTATCCAGATGATTCTTGTGAAGGTGTATGGAGTTTAAAAAAAATAAAAAATAGTGGAGCACTTTCTGTATTACCATGACGGATGTGGGGACTTACAAGTTGTGACATGGACTCGAGTCAGACTTGAGTCACTATTTTTAGGACTTGAGACATGACTTGATAAAGTGGAGTAAGACTCGGGGCTCAACTTGGACTTGAAGGTGAATGACTTGAGATTTGATTGGACTTGAGGCCAGTGACTTGAGAAGAAATTTACATTTCTCCAACTCTTATATACTCTATAAATACTCATATATAAATATACTATGTTTTTGTTTTTTTGTTTTTTTGTACAATTTAGTTTAAAAGTAAAAAAAAAATCCAAAAATCTAAGCTTTATATTTGGTACTTTGGTTTAAAGACTTGAAATGACTTGAAGCTCAAAGCAGAAGACTTGGACTTGACTTGGACTTATGGGCCAGTGACTCGAGACTCGACTTGGACTTGCCTGTGTTTGACTTGGGACTTGACTCGGACTTGAGGTCAAAGACTTGAGACTTACTTGAGACTTGCAAAACAATGACTTGGTCCCACCTCTGCCACATGACATCGTAAGGTGGAACAGATTGTTTTCCGTTTGAGAGAAGAACTCCAGCTATGTTTGATGAGGAAACAAGAATATAACATAGATCAGAAAATAGCATAATATGGGCCCTTCAATAATGGAAATAGTGAAATAGAAAGTAGAATAGCAGATGTATGCTCTTTCTATAAATATACATGAGAATTCAGTTGATCTTAAAGCTAAAAGGACAATACATGATGCATAGAATAACTGAGACTAATTCGCTTCAAAAAGTTTGTATGTATTTATTAAAGGGACATATTATATGCATTTTTTTTTTTTTTTTTAAACTGCAGGATTGTAGCCAAAGCTAACTTCCATCCTTAGTTCCCTGCTGAGCCAAGGACAGCTACATAATCCACACTATTCATAAAGCATGACAAAAGTAACTGCAAGGCAAGTTTATTTGTATAGCACAATTCATACACATAGTAATTCAAAGTGCTTTACAGAATGAGAAAGAAGTAAATATTAGCTCTAGGAGATGATTGGTTAATTCTCCTGCCTATCAGAAACTGAGAAGACAGTACACGAGACCCACTTGTGTTTGTAAAGTTTTGTCAAAGCATGTGGTTTTGACTGGCCAGCCAAATAGATGAAGGGTTGGCTTGCTGCGTGGAATATTATTGCAACAAAAATACCAAGATCGAACCTGTAACTTGGCATGCTGCTTGTCTCCATGGAGATGGAAAAGATTCATGCCAAGGGTCATTCAAGGCAAAGCAGAAACATCTCCATGGAGACTAGAATGTTGTGAAAAAGTTACACAATGCTTCTTTAAGTGTTTGCATTGGCAATATCAACTATCAGAGTTTTTTACATTGTATATTGCTGTCTTCCTACCACCTTTTATATAGTTTAATTAAATGTTATTAAAAGAAGTGAGTGCTAGCTTCATTGTTATATAGTCTATCAAAGGGCAGCGTGTGCTGGCAGGTCCACAATGCACAGTCCGAATCCACTGGAAAATTCATGTGATTCCAACAGTATGAATTAGTGAGGAGCTGGCTGCTCACGCCTGCTCAGCATTTTACTCACTAATCTTGTATTCAGATAAATGCACCAGCAGTGGGCCGTGCGACTGTGGAAAGATGAAAACGCTGATGGATTGGCCCGCGTGAGGAAGCCAAACCCAACCTGGCAACCGCTCAACCCCACAGCACCCCCCACATTCTCAATCCAATAAAAAATCAATACCAATAAATGAGATATTATTCAATTAGCCAACATTAAAAGGGCCAAGTGAAACATTACCAAGAAATAAATTGTGATCAAAGGATTTGTGATTCCAAATTTGAAGTGCTTCTCTTCCATTGGCTTCAGTGAGTTATGCAAATGAGATACATAGTGTGATCAAATTTTTTGAAAATTGGGAAATATTGAATTTGAAAATGACAATGAATAACAATGGATGCTTTGTTGTGTTTTAATGTTTTCATTATGTTTTAGAGTAGTTTAATCACATCATACTTTTTATGTCTACTTAAGTAAAATATGTTTGAAGTAACAGAGCACAATATACAGTATGTTTACTTTTTTGGGTTTAAATAGTTAAAGGAAATGTTTTTGCCTGCACTCTTGCTATTTCAAATAAAGGTATTACAGTCACAGCTGAACCTGGGTTGCCAGGTCTGTGCTAATTGCTGCAGATATAAAAGACACATATACATTTTTCTAACATATGGACAGGCCATAACCTACAGAATTCAGCCACTGAGCTGCAGAGGCTCCACTAGCACAGATTTCAGCATTGAAACTGGCAACCCAAATGAAAGACCCTGTGATTTCTGATTTCTGATTTCTGATTGGATAAGCATCTTGAGAACAAAAACAACTAGTTAGAGCATAAATAAATTGCCAACATAAAATGTTACACAAAAGCTAAACTTGTTTGCCAAGTAATTGGAGATACAGGTAGTTCCTTTAAAAATATATTGTTTACATAAATACTAAAGGATAAATCAGACATCAAACTATCGCCACCTTAATTTTTATTTTTTATTTTTTTTAACTAGTAATTTTGTGCATTATGGTTTTAAAGGACAGTTAATAATCTAGTACTTTAGTCCACCTCTGATACTGAATGCATGCCAAGGCAAAATCCAAAACATGTTTGAATAGATAGAATAATAGAGTCTAGACTATCTATTCAAACCTGTTTTAGTAATATTATCACACTAAATGATCTGATTTACTGGGGGCACAGCGGCTGGGGTTGTATGTCCTCTCTGGGTCAGAATAACATTGGATTTCCTCCAGGTCCTCTGGCTTGCTTCCACTGATGTAAAAGATAAATTTGAGAAAACAAATTTTACTTTCGAAATAGTGTGAACTGCTGTACCCGAGTATTCTTCATATGGCTCAAGCAGAAAATCAAATAACCACTAAATGTTATAATTTTGGATTAAAAATGTGATAACTTGTAACTGATGATGGTGAGGGGATATAATTAATTTCTAAACAGAGCTGACACAGAGTTACAAGAGACCAGGCTTATAAAAATGAGGAATGACATAGATCACTCCAACAAAAGGCAAATCCCAATCTAATTCCCAGATTATTTCAAAATAATTTATGCCCACACTAATTATTTAGTCAAATTTATGTGCATATGTTAGCTTTTTGTTTCTTTTTTTATCAGTTAAATTGGTGGGATTAGTCTTGGGACGTTCAGCTCTTTTATGGGATCCGAATCTTTTGGATCCTTTCACTTCAAAGAGCCATTGAAAAGACTTTTTTGACAAAACTCTCACTTGCGCGGTTTCTATGCTGATTCTTGTATTGATTCACCATAGCTACTCAGAAAGAGAAAGATTTGGCTCTTTTAAAAAGTAAGATCTGGCTCAAATTATTAACGTTAAGGAACCATTTACAAGAGCCGACCGCACACTAGGTGGGATCATATCTGTGTAATTATGAAGCATGGCTGTAGTTTATGAAGAATACAGGAAACAGCACTGAGCCCTAAAATGGATGACACAGAAGAGAGAAAAAGAAGCACGAAGAAAGACTTAATCCATAATGAACAAAAAGTTTATTACGAATGATTCAGCCTTATAATTCCTTAAAGAGAGGATTTTACACTGGGGGTTTTCATTGTTAACTCATCAGATACATTCAGATAATTGAAGAATGTAACAGAAGATAAATCAAAATTCTATTCTAAAATATAATGAAAGCAGATAGAGATACAAGAGATGGATCGCAGATAGAGGTATTAAATGGTGCAGACTAGTTTCGGCCTGATGGTGCGTTTCTAACACTTGGTAGCAAGCCATAATAGACTGGAATAGAATGCATGCAAATTAAGGTATGAGAAATGATCCCATATCAAGATCAGTGAGCCCGGAGTCATTCCACAGAGAGGATAAGTTAAGGAGCGTAATTTCAGAACAACTACATTGTGATAATGTATTCCTATATAGTGTTACAGTCATACTTACTTTAAAGGTGTATTTTTGTCATTTTTCTGATAGAGGCTGAAGTGTCTTGCCTAAGGACACAACAACGCTTTCTACTAGAGCCACTGCTGTACCACTGTGACACTTGGTATTCCAAGCAGTGTCCCATCCAAGTACTAACCAGGTCTGGCCTCGCTTGACCTCAAAAATCACATGAGAACCAGTAGATCCATATTGTTTGGTACGCTCCACAGTGTGATCTATTAAATTAATCTATCGCCATGGAAACAAGCTACCAGGCCATGTTACAGTTAAAATCTACGGAGAGGCACCCCAGTTCAGAAGGAATGTATGCATTTCAAGGTATTAAGCCATGTTATTGCACTTTTACCTCATCAAAAATATGCCTGGAGCTGTGTTTTGTTTCATTCACATGTTTGAGTAACCCCTTAATTATTACTCTATATACAGTACATCTCCAAATGTCACAATGCTCTGTTCCACCTTGTGATGTCATGCAGTACAGTTTTCAAATTTACAGCTACCTTTACCTTTAGTTCAGTAGAAATTGGTACCAGGGCTGAAATTATCCAAATTCTAGAGGAGGTATACAGAGCAGAAAAAGACAGTGGAGCACTTCCTATATTACCACATTACATCACAAATTGGATCAGAATGTTTTCTGTTAAAGAATAACTCAGCCCAAACATGCAAGGTTTGTGTGTTAATCATGTGTGAATGGAACAAAACACAACTCCAGGTATGTTTTGGATGTGTAAACAACATAATAACATAGATCATAAAACAGTGTAATATGGGCTCTTTAAAGACATACATACATGGTTGTATTTACTTGCTGCACACTGAATGGGATAAGCCAAAAAAACATAGTCTTGTGTTACAAAGTAGATCTGTAATAGAGATGCATTATATTGTCAGTGCAGAGTTTTGACCAGGCAAGCTGTTTTAAAATGGGATTTTCAAAACAATAGCGGCCAATGACTCCCAGGAGGTCAGTGAATAGTGTAAGAGAAATAATTTGTGACTCCACTGAATAGATGAATGTATCCAAACTGTGGCAGAATAAAAAGAAGAAATGTGAAAGAGACCAATTTCTCCAGTGAATATCAGCCTATAGAAAGCCAATGAATAGACTGCTCATTTCTAGTTTAACAAGGAAATGTGAGAGTAATATAAAAAGTAAATGTACTGTATTTTATAAGAAAATAGAAAAAAAACATAGCATTGATAGTGTGGTTGGACTGTTGTAACAAAGTTTACTCCATATTAAACTAATGGGTGCACAAACTAGTCATGTTCACATGTCAGATTTTAGTGAGACAGTCACTATTTGTTTACTGTTACTGATTTATAATCTAGTAATATATTTTATTTGCATCATCCAATAGGTGACCAAATGTGTATTATTGCTATCTTTAATAAGATCTTGGCCTTTCGATTGTAAATTTTCCATCTTTTTTCTATATACTTTTTAATCTTAGTTTAATTTAAAAGTATCCACATATATGTTTATTATTTCTGAAATATAAATTACTTACACCAAACAAGGAAGTCATCTTCTTGACTTTGGTGGTTTGTGTAGGGAAAAAAGGAAAAAAAGAAAAAAGTTTTTGGGAGTAAAAATCTTTCTGATTGGTCAGGGATAGAGCCAATGATATTGTATCTACAGATGCACCAGAATCTGACACTGGAGAGTAGAATTATACAATATAAAACTCAATTTGGCTAAAAATGATTTACATAATTAGACTAGGAGGCCATCGACTTATTCTTGGCCATTTCATTAATCCTGTTTATAGTGTCCACTCTTTGCTTCATAAAACACTATTAAAATCTTCCCCAAATTGTTGTGTTACAAGTAGAACTACTGCACAGTTTTAAATCTGTCTTCAAATCATTAACAGAGTCCGTTCTGAAATTCAAATTGCATTCATTGTAATTGCACGCTTATATAATTCATATACTAATGGTTCCACTGCTACCAGTAGGTGACTTGCTAACACAAAATCTAAATAGGGAACACAACTGCTTGAGAATATACATATGCAATATTTCCAAAACATGAAATTCCAACATAGTGGTACAGAAGAGTATGTTATGGCAATCCTAACGGTGCATAATGTGTTCTTTAACAATATTTCTTACTAAACGCCTTTGACTGTGACCTAAGGTGTTTGTGGGTGAAAGTTTCTATGATAAATTGTTGCTTTATGTTATATTTGCTGTGTTTTTTGTGTCCACAGACGCTGCAGATGGGGATAAAGCACTTCTCGGGCCTGTTTGTGATGCTGTGTGTGGGCGTGGCCTTATCTCTCCTCACCACCATTGCAGAGCACATCGTCTACAAGCTGGTCATACCCCGGGTCAAGGAGCCACGCTTCAAGTACTGGCTGCATACAAGTCAGGCATGTACTTAAAACCATACTCATGTACACTATGTATCTTGGAGGGACAGTTTTAACAATATGTAGCATTTATTTATATGTGAATGCTCAAAAATGCATTGAAAAACAACATTCTTGCTGTAGGGACTCTGATCTAACCTGTAACTTGACCTGGTTGCATTACTTCTTTCTCTATGGAGATGAATAGATCAGTGGAATAACATCTCCATGGCGACTAACGGGTGGCTTATGTGACATGTGCATGTGTAGACGGGTAGTATGCAGTGAATTGTATGAAGAGAATGAAAACAGCTTAAAGAAGGGGTGTTAGGCCAAATTGATTTTTTTTTAGCTTTCTACAATGATATAATGTTGTTCCCTCATCAACATGCCTGAAGATGTTTTAGATGTCATCCATACATGTTTGGGTAATTTATTGATCTCTCCCAGGCCCTACTCAAACCCTCCTTGCAGTTAGGTGTAAGATTCTGTCTAAAGCCTATGTCATCCTAGCCTGATTCACTTCGTGGAAACCGTTTGACCTCGCAGCATTAGGATTCGTTCGCGCAATGGTGGGCAGGTACTTTTAAAAAATGTAACCAATCACTGCTATTTGGTCATGATGTACGTAATGCGCCAAATCCCATAGGAAGAAAAGCAATAACGTCTTTCCACTTGATAAAATTCACCAAACATTCTCTTTGTTCCGGTTTTAAATCCTCAATCTCGGTAATCGTTGCCAACACAGAATGTATGTCTTCGTCTACATCCATCTCGACCGCTTTGTTTACTGTTGTGCCGTACCACAAAATGGACTCAGAGAGGCGCTTGAGTTTGGCGTCATGCCTTCACAGCTCTTCGGTGATTGGCGGGTGCACGGTCAATTCCCCATAAATATACAACAGCATGATGGAAAACTACACAACTACACAACAACTTTACAAACCTGATGTGCAGTAGTTTCATTAATGGGATGGGCGCTGATTGTGTGGTGATAGCGCTCTGAAGGGGGAGTGATTTAGCATGGAGATTCAGCAAAGATAGGGGGAGACTCAAATGGGACACGTTAGGCATGTTCTATCAAAAATGACAACTAGAATCGATCGATTAAAATCACAAAAAAAATTATTCCCTTTCCAATACAATTCTAATACAGAGCTCTGGGTCAAATCATGTCCCTAACAGCTTAAATATAGAGGACTTACAATCAGGTGATCTGAATGCCTCTCTATCCCTAAACCCAGAGATATAAAGCGACAGTATGAATATGCAAATAATATGCTGAGCAGGTTCACGCCTTGGATCCTCCTTCAAGGTCTCTTCACCACCCCCACTGGTCCGCTTTTACAACCCGAGACATCTCCAACATCGTCTTATCTCTGCAAAGGAGTTTCCCTAAAAGCACACATCTGTTTCCCATTATTCAGGACACACAGTATTACTTTTAAGCACATATTTTCAGTGTTTAACTCAATGTGTAACTTCATTAAACAATATTCAAACAAATATATAAATTCAGTGTTTTGGTATGCACATGTGGTGCACGCAAGAAGCTTTATTACTTGATATAGCCTTCAGACACTTATAAAACATGTCAGTACGCCGTTTTCTGCTAATATAACATTTTCAAAACAATAAAACATGTGGATCTAAATATTTTGGTGATTTACACAACGCAGAAGTGTAATCAAGCTCTTTTTGTTTTATTGTACATTAACAGTCATTTTGTCATCTTTTACAGAGACTACACCGTGCCCTAAACTCAGTTTTCACGGATGACAAACTACCAACTGTTACCAAACCAGAGAAAAGGTACGTCCTACTTAAGACGACAACATCAGCTAAAATCATACGGGAGAGAAACGATACACAGTACAGCTTGAACTCACTTTTAATTATTCATGCCCTATTAGAGTATTCAGTTCCATGTGGGATTTAGCCTTATTAACCTTTAAGAAGTACTATAATGGAATGCTTACCCAACACTTTCTCACTGTATTAATATGTATGATCAGGAAACAGCTGTCCAAACACTGGTTGGCATTGGGGCATGTTTTAGTATTTATGAGAACAAGAAGTATGTACTATATGTTTGAATCACTCACAAATGTCAGTGAGTGAATTGTGGTCACTGCATTTAAGAGTGAGAGTCCCATAACAGAGATTAGAAGGTTTTGAGTTTAAATTCAAGTCTGATTACGGTGACCAGATGTCCCTATTTACCCAGGACAGTCCCAGTTTTGAGCCCTGTGTCCCCTGTCTCAGCAGATTTATACAAAACCTTCGATTATTTCCCAGTTTTATACAAGACATGTCCTAGGTGTCCCTATTTTTGATCAAGTTGATCCCTGCCAACAGTAAAAAGAGGCATAAATTGTCCAAAACACAAAGAAAATGTGACTATACTTAGTGAATAATTTTCCTTAATTACGCTGTTGGTTCATTATTATTACCAGCCACTCCAAAATGAGAGTGTCCCAATTTTTAATTTTGAAATTCTGGTTACCTTTAAGTCTGATCTACTGTTTTTCTTGAGAATGTGAGAAATCTCAACTGCTGATTGCTATTGTTATTGATGCTTTGCAGTGACATCTTGCTGGGGTGTTCGGCTTTTAAGCCTATGGTAGAATATTCAGCAGTTACCATGTGGTACAATGCACACATTACTAATACCTACTAGGGTGTAACAATAACCAGAATAGCATGATATCGTATCGTCAAAAGTCTCTCAGTAAAATTGTGGGCCATCACAATATATCGAATCACAAGTTTCTTAAATTCATTGTTATGGTGCAGCAGTAGCAAAAAAAAAAAAAAAAACAGAGGGAACTTTGCTCCGTTTTGGTGCAAACTACATGAAGAAATAGCCATTCTATGCACTTTTAAATCTTAGTTCTTTGAATTAAGTCTTATCAAGGCATTTTATGAGAAAAAGTAGCATATTTACAATTTGTTAGCCTCCACAAAATATCGCAATAAATACCAAACCGTGAGATGTATGTCATGAAAATATCATACCATGAGATTTGGATATCATTACATCCCCAATATGTATCATAAAGTTTTCTTGCAAACTCAAGAAAAAAATCTAAAACAGATTTAAACAAAACATTTTCAGGAGCCTGTGATCAATACGAGCATTCATGGTCCTGTTTAGGAGTTTGATTTTCAACTAAAAAGGTGAGAGAGACTGAAAAAACTGTTGGCTAATGCCATTTGAATGAGACTTGTTTAACAGTACAAATCAACTCACCTGCTGTGGCTCAGTTGTTGTGGCAAATAACTCAGTTGTTTATGGTTAGATTGTGTTAAAATAAAGCTCAGATTAAAGTCTAACTTGAGTAACAAAACTTCAGACAAAGCAGTGATCTTAGAATAGCCCATTTGTAGTGAGTCATTTAAACGTGCCTTTGCTGACCTGTTTTAATCACTATTTGTTTTATTTGTATTTGTTTTAGTATACTGTATACTTTATAATGTTTCTGCATATTATCTATCTTTAATTAATGAATAGCCTATTTTTAATCTGCAAAGCACCTTATGAGCTGTGAAAGGCATTCTATAAATAAATGTTACTTCCTTACTTTGGAGAGCCGTGGCAAAGTGGCCCCCGGGCCTGTGTGTACTTTAACAGTCTCTGTAGTAAAGATGATGATGATAAAAGAAAAAGTTTGCACAGACTTCATTTGTGTCTTCCGCTCTATTTCGGTAGTTTAAAAGGTCCGTATTACACTAACTTCTGATCTATGTTACAATGTTGTTTCCTCATCAAAAACTTCCCTGGAGTTGTGTTTTGTTTCATTCGCACATGATTAACACACAAACCCTGCAGATTTAGACTGAGATTTTAAACATAAAACACTCGTTCCACCTTGTGATGTCATATGGTAATACAGGAAGTGCTTCATAAATTCGGCCCTGAATTGCCAAACAAAAAGTAAAAGTTTGCAAAAAGAGGGCAGGGGGCAAGAGTGCTACTTGGATATGCAGAAATTGTACAGAATTGTCCTTTTGGTGGTCTTCAGTGTAGGGATCAGTCTCAAATACAAGTCATACAGTCACTCAAAAAGTACAAAACAGGGCAAACTCGAGATGGCTATCACAGTGCAAATTTAAAGTAATCTGAATTGGTCACATGTTCACAGTGGGCTGGCTCACAGTCCCTTTGTGCATGATGGGACATGTAGGCTAAACAGATTTTAATTACAAGCTATTTAAGATAAGATATAATACAATATGTAAATAGTATAAATAGTACAATTCCCAACAACCAATACATAGAAAGATACATAAAAACATAATAAAAAGGTAAAAGGTATCTGTTAAGATGAAAACTGCTACTACATGACATCATAAGGTGGAACACTGTATTTTGAGCTAATAATAGACTAATAATAAAGGGTTATGTATGAGTTGTGTGTTGAAAATGAAACAAAACACAACTCCAGGTATGTTTTTAAGGAGGTAACAACATTTTAACATGGCTAAAAGCTCACAAGTGGCAATTTTGTGTAATACAGAACCTTTATGAGCTGTCACTATAGATAATGGAGCTTGGCACAGACTGGCTGCTCTAATTGGTTGTTGTTAAGTTGTAAACCTATCATGTTGGAACATTACAGTTTAAGGTTCTGAGTTTGGAGTCTGAGACATGAGGTGAGCCATGACAAATGATCACTTGAAAAGAAGGGATGTTTGTGTGCTGTCTGAACTTCAAGCTGAATCAGTACACTTACAAGTTTACTAGTTTTTATTACATTTGTCATATTTTCACGTGGCATGGGTTGCCAGATAAACAATTCACTGTCTACATTTGCCATAGACTATAATTGACTCATCCCTTTAATAATAAATTCAGAAGTTTGAAATCCATCAAAATATCTGCTGCACATTTGTTCCAGAAGTTCACACAAATCCAGCATTTTCGTCATAACAAGTTACATGGAGCAAGCCTGGGAAACCATTTAAAAGTGAAGTTGTCATATTTGTCCATGCAGCCTGATAACAAATCTGACAGGAAGTGACACCAATTAACTCCAAGTGTCATGAAGGCAATCGTGGCTAATCAGAAAGTGAACAGAGCGGTCAGTGTGGAGAACAGTATTAGCAGTGGGAACAAATGGAGGAGCTTATCTCTTCCGGCTTCCTCTGTGCATTATTTGGTTCAGGGAAAGTCAGTCAGAGCTTTTTATTTGAGGTCCAATACACCATTGTATGATACATATACCCTACTTTGTCTGGATTAGCGTAAGACATTTTAACTAAATGTAAAATCATGCAGACACAGAGACGTTTTGGGGTTTAAAAGAGGATGTCCGCTGACTAAAGCCGGGCGTACACTGTGAGACTTTTGGCCCTTTTTGAGACGATTTTTTACTTGTGCCACTGTTTTTGGGATCGGGCCAAGTTTTGGTTTAATCGAGTGTCGTGCTTCGTGTAGTAAACATGAGGTAACTAGAACCGATTAATACCTCACGACCAGCTCCCGTTTGTCACAGGAATATCAAACCTGTTTGACATCCAGTCGCCTCTCATGAGGGTTTCACACCAAGTATCAGTTCGTATCGTGTGAGAACATGAATAGTGAGCTGTGAACTTTTAAACCCTGTGATTTGGTTGTACAGTTTGAGCTGGGGTGGGAGTGAAACAATCGAAAATATTGCACGGTGTATGTCCGGCATAACCCTAACCCTAAAGGTCCGTTCAGACCAGAGCGTCAAAAAACGCCCTAGACATCTCTATTTGGACACCATTGCATTTGAGTTTAGACACCCCCAATGCGCAACTTGGACACCATGTATAAACGGATAGTTGACATGCACCCATTGCCCTGGAAACATGTGCCTGGTCCCTGTCTTTTACCGAAACGATGGCAAACCAGGCAGACTAGACTTTACTACATAAAACCATCAGCGGAGGCAATCAGTAGTCCTGGTCCAGTTCCTGGTTCGGTTTTGATCTAATCCTGGTTTAGTCCGGTCCTAGTCTAGTCATGTTCTCTTTCTGGTTTAGTCCTGATCCAGTCCTGGTGTAGTTGGTTGACATGCTGTGTGTGATGTGAAAAGTTCAGTGTTTTCAACTTCTGACGCTGACGCCTTGGACGTGCGTCGATGCTCTAGACGCCTTGGTCTAGAGCATCGATGCACCACAAAAACGCAGGACGCCCTAAATGCGTGTCCACATAGACTTTGCATATAAACTGGACACCTTGATGCTCTGGTCAGAACAGGCCTTAACCCTCATTGAGAGGGATTGGAGACTTTGCAATCTATATGATATTAAATGTAGTAATGCAGCTCATTTAAGAAAAGTTGTCTTACTGTACTTAGTGTACTTATTCTATAACTATAAAACCATCTTATAATGTGTTCTAGTATAACCAAATGTCTAATATAAGTCAACTCCTAGTATTTAAATAGGGGGTATTATGCAAAATTTACTTTTAAGTTATAATGTCCCCTCATCCAGAACATGCCTGAAGAGGTTTTTTATGTCATCCGGTAATCTAGCAATCTCTCCCAGCCACTCTTCAAATCCTCCTTACAGTTCACTGTAAGATTCTGTCCAACGTTCAGCCCACAAACCTACATCACACAAGCAAGATGCAAAACAGTAGTTTCATTAATCAAATACACCCTCTTTAGGTCCTCTAATAATATCTTCAAATAAATACTTTGCCTCATATTTCACTGTTTATTGTTGTTGTTTCATCGTAACGTATCTGCCATCTTCACAAAGCTCTGAACACGGTGCCCATTTTATGTCTCATGTTATCCTGGCTCTCCATCTGGTCAGTGTGGTGCAGTCGCGTG